TATATGTACATATACCCAAAACCTACCTTTATGTATTCTTCACCTACTTTGTTGAATTAAATACTTTGAGCTCAGTTATACCAGGACAGACAGTTCTTGCACGACCATAGACAGATGCGTTTCTGTCGTGTTCAGGCACCAGCACAGCACTGAGGGACAATAGAGCTGCCAGAGACGCAGTCAATCGCTGAAGGGAATTTGCTGAAAATACAAAACCATTTAGCACTAGATACAGAGGGCCACACTAATACTGATGACAAAGTACTTTGAATTGACAATTTAAAAACATGATTGTTATATTTGATTGTTTTCCCCTTTTGTTTTCCAACAGTAAAATTATGAAATGGTGCAACTGTAATAAAATTAGGAATATGAAATTTCAGCAGACATGATGAACTCATTTTGAGTAACTCACCATTTCATTTACACTGATGATAAGAGGATTTTAGATAAAATTTTATATATATATATATATATATATATATATATATATATATATATATATATATATATATATAATAAGGTGTCTTGATAATAAACAGTTTTTTGATGATTTGATGAAATATTCTCTAAAAAGCCAGATGGCTGTAGAGGTGAAGACGACTAAAAGGGGCAACAAACACAGAAACAACTAATATAAACTAATGTAAACATTTAAATGTTTTAAATAGTTGCATGGCTGTCCATTATGCGTATGAAGAATGGACTGGTCCCAATGTCGGAGTGGCTATTCGGGAGAACCAGGAGAGTTCCCAGTGGGACGTGGGGGTTGGCGACGCAATAAATTTCATGTTAGCGTTATAATTTAGCACTACTTGTTGCAGCATAGGCTGCAGGCAGCTGAGCTCTGAGCTGCATACTCTCACACACACGTGCCAGTTTAAGCATAAACAATTTAACTCAGAATTGTCTTAGTCAAAATATAATTACTCCGATGGATTGGCACCAAGTCCAGTGTGTCCCCTGCCTTGTGCTCGGAGTGCCCTGGGATAGGCTCCAGTCTGTGGACATCTGAAGTGAGTGTGTGGGCTGCTGAAAGTCAGTCCCACTCTGGTCCTGACTGGTCCATTTAACAAACCCCAGTAATATGTAGAATGAAGTGTGTGAAATCATTAGTATAATCAAAGGCCCATAATATTGCACTGATATGTAATTATTACTTTTAAGTTCGCGTGCAAATGAGTTAGGCAATTACCTTTAATATGCACTGATTAGTGCCTGTTCCCATCTTCATCTTGCTCCTTAATCTTATCAAATGTTACAATTGCTTGGCACTTGAGACAGGCAAGGAATAATGTGAAATCCAAAGCTGACAAGTTGACATTGTCAATTTGCATTCAGTAGCTGTTCATGGGAACTCGATCTGTCGACTTGATCTGTCGATGCAAGTGAACAATTTGGTACAAATTGTTGATTTGGCCACTCATAAAGTGTCTGCTATCTCTGATAAGTCTGTTTTGTTCTTTCAGCCTAATGATGGCCTCCTTCACTTGTATCGACACCTCTTTGGACCGCATATTGAGAGTTCCCATGAACAGCTACCAAATTCAAATTCAATGCTTGGAATCAATTCCAGACCTTTTATCTCCTTAACTTGTCATGAAATAACAAGGGAACAGGCCACATCTGGCCATGAAACTGCTTATTAGTCAATTATCCAGTTACTTCTGAGCCTGTGAAAATGGAGGGACTCTGAAAAAAATGGCTGTAATTCCTAAACGTTTAATGCAATATTTTTGTTAAACCCCTTGAATTAGTCTACACTTCAATCACATCATGATTGCTTCATTTCAAATCCATTGTGGTCAAGTCAAGTGGCTTTACTGTCATTTCAACCATATACAGCTAGTTAGTGCACAGTGAAATGAAAGAACGTTCCTCCAGGACCATAGTGCTACATAAAACAACACAGATCTATAAGAGACTACACATTTTTACATAAAGTGCACGTGCAAACATGTGTAAACAGCAGGAGACAGTACAATGACTACCAAAACAGGACAATAGGCACAGTAAGATACAGTGCAGTGCTGACTAGTACACAGTTCTAGTAAGAAAGTGAATCAGATAACAATATAATAAGTTGCTGTAAATGTAAACATAACACACTACGACATAGTATTCAGTAGATAAGCTTATACTGCTTATAACATAGCAGTTATTGGGGTAGCAGCCAGGTAGAGAGCATAAGTAGTACAAAAAATTTTATACAATATTTTATAAATACTGTAGGAGCAAAAATGCAGGTAGTAAGATGTGCAAAAATTGCAAAGAGAGTGGGATGCTGTTCGTTTGAGTGTGTATGTGTTGTCAGTCCAGTCTCTGAGTTTTGAGGCATCTGATGGCTTGGGGGAAGAAGTTGTTGCACAGTCTGGTCGTGAGGGCCCAAAGGCTTCAGTGCCATTTGCCAGATGGCAGGAGGGTGAAGAGATTGTGTGAGGGGTGTGTGGGGTCACCCACAATGCTGGTGGCTTTGCCGATGCAGCATGTGATGTAACTGTCTATGATGGAGGGAAGAAAGACCCCGATGATCTCAGCTGTCCTCACAATCCACTGAAGGGTCTTGTGATCTGAGATGGTGCAATTTGAGGATGGGGGGGTGGGGGTGGGAGATGGGCTTTCCTCAGCCTTTGCAGAAAGTAGAGACGCTGATGGGCTTGCTTGCTGTATGTGTTTGTGTGTGTGTGTGTTGTCAGTCCAGCTGATGGAGCTGGACTGACAACGGAGCTGGTTTTGAGGGACCAGGTGAGGTTCTCCGCCAGGTGAACACCAAGAAATTTGGTGCTCTTGAAGATATCCTCAGAGGAGCCGCCGATGTTCAGCTGAGAGTGGTCACTCCTTGCTCTCCTGAAGTCAACAAAGATCTCTTTAGTTTTGTCCATGTTCAGAGACAGGTTGTTGGCTCTGCACCAGTTCGTTAGCCGCTGCACCTCTTATCTGTATGCTGACTCGTTGTTCTTGCCGATGAGACCCACCACGGTCGTGTCATCGGGCAAACTTGCACTGCTGCACAAGCGTGAGTCAGCAGAGTGAACAACAATGGACCGAGCACACAGCCCTGGGGGGCCCCAGTGCGCAGCATGGTGGTGTTGGAGATCCTGTTCCCGATCTGGACTCACTAAGGTCTCCCAGTCAGGAAGTCCAGGATCCAGTTGCAGCGGGAGGTGTTCAGGCCCAGCAGGTTAACCTTTCAGTCAGGTACTGAGGAATGATTGTGTTGAATGCTGAACTGAAGTCTATGAACAGCATTCGAACATATGTGTCTTTGTTGTCCAGGTGGGTGAGGGCCAGATGGAGGGTGGTGGTGATGGCATCATCCGTTGATTGGTTGGCAAGCTTCTTGAAGCACTTCATGATGATGGGTGTGAGTGCAACGGGACGGTATTCATTGAGGCAGGACACTGAAGACTTCTTTGGCAGGGGGACGATGGTGGTGGCCTTGAAGCATGTTGGAACGATGGCGTTGCTCAGGGAGGTGTTCAAGATGTCTGTGAAAACATTCGCCATCTGGTCTGCACATCCTCTGAGCAATCTGCCAGGAATGTTGTCTGGTCCAGCAGCCTTACGTGGGTTAACTCTGTGTCGAGTTTTCCTCACATCAGCCAAATGTAGTGATGATCTTGGAGACAGTGACGTCATCAGTGCACTTGCTGATGTACAGTAGCTGGTCACTGATGCCGTTACAAAATTACAAAAATTGTCATTGTCCAAATACTTATGGACCTGACTATATGTAACAAGGGCAGTACAGAGAGCATGACAGACCAAGGATAAGCGTGCATGTGAGCAGTTTGTTGATGTAAATGGTGAGTTCTCTATGGATACTAAAGTAAACTGTTCTATAAGGCTCTGTTCTAGTCCCTGTGTGCTCAATGTACATTTTCTTAAAAGGCCCACCCCTCCCCCCCGTCCTCCAGATCTCCCTGATCCATCCTGATGCACCACTTCTGCTTCCTCGCTCACCTGAAAATCACTCACTGCTGCTGAAGATGGCCCCACGTGGATGGCCTAAAGATCGCCATGAGATTACTGTGGATGATGCCACATAGATACCCTAAAGATGGCTGTGTATGTTCTTTCTTGGATAGCCTAAAGACAGCAACTGCTAAGAACCGTTTACACTCACATCTCCATCACTGAACAGTTGATGACTTCATTTTGATAGAAGAAAGTTAAAGTTAAAACTCTGATGATGTTCATACTCAGTTCATACTGTTCTATAGGAAGTGTGTCTGCTTCCAAGGCTGTGCAAACCACACACTTTGACAAACCTACTCTTAAGTCCAATACTAGCTGAAACAAACCCCAGCCACTCCATAACCAAAATTACTTATTGGGAATGGTGGGGACTAACTACCACCTTTGTTTTATGTTTTTTGACCATATGTATAATTTTGAATGACACAAATGGATATTTGTGAACATCCCCATGAACACACCTCACCTCCCATCACTTTTCCAATACCTCCTCTTAGTAGAGGATTACAGTAGCCTAATTACATCAATATACAGTATACTGTCTTGAGTACTGACTGGCACTTGCTTCCAGATTGGAAGCCTAACAGTCCTGCTTACGCCCTCTTCCAGTTCTCTGTGGTACCCAGCTGTGTTACACTTAAAGAGAGGTGAGAAAAAACAGGTTAGTAAGGGTAGGGAGGCATTTCAGTCAGCCAACAGCCAACATGCACCATGTCGGGGTTCCTCTCAGCTCTTCTGGTAGCCTCCCATACGGTTGTTGTGGAGCTCCTCCCCAAATACCTCGCTCCCAATACAGACCCATAGTCAACTTTGCTCCACTTAATGCAATTTAATGTTGTTGTTGTTCCTCTTTCGGCTGCTCCAGTTAGGGGTCGCCACAGCGGATCATTAGTCCGCATGTTTGATTTAGCACAGTTTTCATGCCGGATGCCCTTCCTGATGCAACCCTCCCCAGTTTTATCCGGGCTTGGGACTGGCACTGAGAGCGCACTGGTGCATACAATCCCAGTGGCTGGGGTCGGTTCCCTGGCCGAGAATTGACCCCGGGCCACAGTGGTGAGAGCTCTGTGGCCTAACCACTAGTCCTCAAGGGACCACTTAATACAATTTAACTCTATACTCTATACTCTATATTGTACACTGTAAATAATATATACATTCTCTTGAAAACTATGATATAAGATAGCCTTTTTTCAGTATTTCTTACTAATACCTTTGAACTATAATAAAAAAACTGGACACTATTTCAACTTATTTCTTTTAACAGAAACCAATTCTTTTAGGAGGAGCAGGAGCAAGATTTGGCCACTCTAGTCAGAGTAAGTGTACTTTTCTGTCAAATATCAGTATAAACCTACAAATGCCCACGGCCTTGCAAAAAAGCGTTTTATTTATTAGGACATTATTAAAGCATTATGAACGAAAGGCACTCATTAGATACATTCCAGGGACACTCTTACAAAGAAAATATAGACAGTATATTAAATGAGAGTGGTTTAATTTATTGTTTATTTTTTTTCTATACCACACAATTTGAATGTAAATATTGAGTAATATTAAACAGACATTTTTTTAAAAAAATCACTCTCTTTAAACTGTAGCATTTCTGCATAATTGTCACCTAGTTTACATTTTGGAGCCTGAAAGAGCCCGTAAGGAGTAAGAGGTGAAGAAACATCTGATGTGCCTTGTACAGTGCGTGGCCTGTGTGGTCATCTGTGTCTCATTTCACCAGCCTACACTGCATGACTGATGGCTGGCAGCTTTCTGAGTACCAGCCAGAGTGAGTGATCATCAAACACCATGAGAAACACGCTGTGCTCTACACTAGAGTTTGCATGGAAACACTGTCTGTGTTACCCTCTGTCAGTAAATAAAATGTTGACAATACAAACTTTAACATACTAAATAAACTCCTTATGGCCCGCCTCCAAGTTCCAGGCATATGAGAGGTGTTGAGAGAGAATGACATGAGAGAGAATTAGAGGCAAAGTAAATTACAGGACTGGTCATCAGTATTGAATCAACTAAACCTTTGGCAACTAAAATGGTGGTTTAAATGGTGTTAATAATAATAATAATAATAATAATAATAATTATTATTATTATTATTATTATTATGGCAAAGAGGGAAAAACTAGTTGAACTATGGCAAAGAGGAAACAGGATTACCTGAGCTTTGACTTGGGAGATAATAATGTGACTAGATAACATTTAGACCACTATTTAGAAATAATGCTTCGTGTGAAAGCAGCCTTACAGAATGTACCAACCACTGAGCAAATTTTAAGAGCACTATAGTTATATTAACAATCAACCAAACCTAAGTGTGTTCAAATACCATGCTGTTACCTCACTCACTCACTTTCAGTAACCATTTTATCCTGGTCAGGGTCCTGGGAGCACTGAAAATGAGGTGAGAATCATACACCAGTCCATTGCAGGGCACCACACACACACACACACGCACAACACACACACACACACACACACACACACACACACACACACACACACACACACACACACACACATTCATTCATACCTAGGGGCAGTTTATTATAGCCAATCCACCTACTGACAGGTTTTTGGGAGGCGGTAGGAAACTGGAGATCCCGGAGGAAACACAGTAACCTGAGCTCAGGAATACACAGGGACCCTGGAGGTGTGAGGTGCCAGTGTTAGCTGTTGTGCCATCCTGCTGCCATGCATATAACGTACTGTTGATGGGTACACTGTCATCCTGAAAAAGAGCACTCCCACCAAGATAGAAATATTTCATAATAGGATCAATTCACATGTTTACAATATATTTTTTTGTGAATCCATTTATTTCTGTAAAGCTGCTTTGTGATAATGTCCATTGTTAAAAGCGCTACACAAATAAAATTGAATTGAACTGAATTGAATTGAATTAAAGGTGATCAGTCAGAATAACTTTGTATTGTGAACAAGCTGACCCATTTTAATTGAGTAAAATTCAGTTTTAACTGCAGAATGCTTTAACAATAGACAGTATCACAAACCAGTGTAACAGAAATCCAGATGTAGAGCAAGCCAGAGGCAACAGTGGCAATTCCCCGCGAAGACATGGGGAAGAAATCTTGAGAGGAACATGACTCAAAAGGCAACTCATCCTTTTCTACTAAGTACTAAGTTTGATCAGTATGAGCATATTGCGAATAGGAATCCTGAGATAAGCACAGGACAGTCTTCATGATTACAGCAGCAGTTCATAGGTACAAATCTTCAGTATCCAGGTCAGATTATTCACTAATACAAGGATGAGACTTGAGCATAAACTATTTTTTGGGTTCTTTAATGTAATCCATGTGGGAGCATCCACAGCAGTAGAAGGTGATTCACAAGTGCAGAAAGCACCAAGCGTAAGTAGAGCATCAGAATGAATTAGGCAGGACTAGATGGCGTGAGGGGCACAGCAGGAGAAGTGCATCATGATAAGACACTGGCATCACATCAGGCAGCAGGAATACATAAAACATCCCATTTTACTATAACTCTTTATGCCCATAAGCCCCCAATGTCTGGACCTAGAAAAAAACCTATTTAACAAAATGCCTGACTAACAGGTAGCTAAATTCAGATGTCACTTAAGTCACTGTTACTATAAAAACTTTGTAATGTAAGCTCCTGCAATCTTAACTGCTTAATTTTATCATGTAGTCCACTGGTCTGAGAAGCACTGTGGCACAGGGTAGTGTTGACTGCTTGGGTTACCTCGGGGTTCTCTGGTTTTCTCAGGGTTCTCTGGTTTTCTCCCACCTCTCAAAAGCATGCCAGTAGATGGATTGACTAAGATAAATTGCTCCTAGGTGTGAGTGAGTTTGTGAATGTGTATGTGTGTGCAAAAAACTGGCATCCCAGCCAGGTTCGATTCCTGCACTGAGCTTAGTGTTCCAGTGATAGACTCCAAGTTGTGCCGTGCTGAGAACATTTTTAATGCAGCAATTCATGTCTTACACTAGATGGCAGCAACTATTTACTTTAACGAGAAACCAACACAATCCACAATCCTGAGTATATCGTAAACCCTGCTAACCTTCGAAAGATAGTGGAACTGACTATATTATATACTATATGTTTGATGTTAATATTATTAACAGTATATGTTTAATTAACTACTGGAGCTAGATACAACTGGAAGCTAAATATCAATTAATGCATCAATAAGCTTCAGGCAGCACTGTAAGTGCACTGGGTAGCATTGCCACCTCACAGAATTTTTGGTACTCTTCAGGAGAAAGTGCAAAAACCTCAGAATCATGCCTCTTCCTGCAATATCTTAAAAGGTTAGAAACACATGTACATAGGGGTGTAACACAATGACACTATCTGTAGTGCTCCAAATATTTATTTCTGTATCTGTATTCGGATTAAAACCCAAAGTGGGTGTGGCCTAAATTGGTTCGTTCATAGTTGTTGTTTTTTTTCATTTAAACATGAAGGCTACCACTCAACAGTGGAAAACAGTGGGGGGGAAAAGTATAGGTAGAAATGCCAGCACTGTCAATATGGTGTGTAAATTTCTACCTTTGACAGTTCCTTAACCTCAACTACATCACTTGAATTTATAATTGTTCACAGCTAGAGATTTACTTGGTCCTGTTCCCGAAAATATGAACAAACTAGTACCCTGGTTTCAACCTCCATTGACATTTAAGTGACTCTCATTCACTCTCATCCCACCCCCCCCAATTTGTCCCATATTTTGGTCTTGCCAATACCCACCCACGAGCTAATGCTCTCCTATCACATGACAGCTACCAACAAGGGAGGGTGGGGCAAACACATGCATACCCTGCAACACAGAACAGCTTAACACAGTCAGTGGAAAGTGCTATCTACCCCCTTCTGCATACATGAGCTCCCACAATTGGCTAGTGTCACTGTGATTAACAGGGAGAATAAGCCATCCCTCCCACCCTGTGAACATGACCATTTTTGCTCTCTTGACTCCTGGTCTCAGATAGTTGTGGTTATTGTCAGGATTCATACTTGCAATCTCCTGACGGTAAGGTGAAGCCTTTTCTGTTATGCCACTTGGGAGCCCAGTTCGTTACATTTTAAGAGAAAATAATAATGTTTAAATTCGAGATGGATTGAGATGGATAATGCACAACTTTATATCATTGTGCATTATGTGGCATTGTGTGTTATATTTTATTATGTATTAAATCATTTTGCTATCCTGAAGGGTGGAAATAATTCTGGAATATACTGCATTTCTATCCATCAAGCTGTCTAGTGAAGATTATATATACAAGTAGGATGCTGTATATACTTTCCTTTGGGAGGATAATTTTAATTGCCTTTCATCATTGTAGTAAGATCCAGCCTGACTCTACGCAGCCATTCAGAGCTAATCTAAAGTGGCATTCAGGGAATGGCAAATGATTCATGACAAGCAATTCTCAAAGCATCTTTGCTCTTATCCTGGTACCATGGGACCATAAGTCACTGCATATGCCTCTAAAATGAAATTATAAACAATAAGCATTAAATAACAACTTATGTGCCAGGGGCTTTTTCCATAAATGTTTAAGATTAACGCATACATCTGGGCCAAACACTGCAGCACCTTGTTGCTCATTCAATGCACAACCTGGATCAATACAAGTAAATCCCACATTCCAACAAATGGTCCATTTAGTTCAGGGACTGATTATAATGAATCAGTTAATCAACGCTCCTGTACTGCAGTGCCTTATATGCATTTACTGCAATGCCATCTTTCATCTGCAATGCAACAGAAAAGCCATTAAGATTAATATATCAAAGTATTAGATTTACTATATGCTGCCCTATTTGTCTGCATTAGAAATGTATTAATGCATGTAATGCGTTTGTTTCTGTGGAGAGAAAAATGTCCGTCCCATGGTCATCAGGTCAGCATAGTTTTTGGTGTCCAAATGAACTGAAACCTTAGTGAACCAGACTGTTCACTCACTGTAATGATCCCATGTTACTGCATATACAAAGTAGACTTTTCCAGCACATTTTTCGAATATTCTTTTCTTTGTAACCTCAGTTGATGTTTTAAACACCAAGCGTATTGATTCTCCCCGTTGTTCAT